GAAGAACAAAAATAATAGGTTTAATTATGAGTTTAAATACTACTTGTATGATTTCTGATATTGTCTGATTCAATAAATTTAAATTTCAATTACTAATTATTTTAAACAATAATATAGATATCAAAAAAGAATGAAAGGAAATACTTGTAATTAATAGATCAACTATTTCCTTTAAGGTAAAGTATTATTCGCCCCTATAAATAAATAAGAAGAAAAATGTTTTGTGGTGGCTGCTATTGAAATTTCTAAAAATGAAAAATATATTGCCATGATATATTAAATCAACTCCTCTCAGTTCTTTCTATAAATATGGGATCTTGAAAGTTAACTATCAATATTTAATTAATAATATGGTACAATCATTCATAGAGAAATTAAAATATCATTTTCAGGGGATTCTGAAGTAATAGGTATTAATTAAAGGTATAGACCTGAAAGATGTGCTTTAATTAATTTCTTAAAAGTTAAATCTAAAGAATAGACTGAATTAGAAATACCTGATTTTGATTCTTTGATTTCAAGTGAACTTACAATCAATTATACAGGAAGTAAATGTATTATCCATTAATATGATTATTTTTTTGTATTTAATAGTATTTGGGATAATAAAAACTATTATTACTCCTATTCTAGGATTTAAAATATTAGAGGGTATGATGTCACAATTCGATTTTCAAATTTTGTTGACAATTTTTATCTATTTTTAAAAGGCCAAGCAAAATTAGAGTTATGGACTTGTTATAAAAATAATAAGGTAAAATAAATTTGTAATTATTTTGACTCTTATCTCATAAATGATTTAAAAGAGATGGAATAAAATAAATAATTATTAGTTCATTATCAGAAAAATAATTGGTCAACTAATACCATTATAATAATATATCTACCAAAATTTAGCATTATCAGAAAGATTTTACTAAGTTCAGATCGCAATAGCTCAGATTTACTTACTTTATTCCCTAGAACTGATTTGATTATATAATTAAAACACAATCAAAGGAAAAGGATTGATGACTTCATTTTTCTCAAATAAAAATAAGACATTTATCAAGAAACTTGTGCAAAGTTAATATTTACTTTACCAGAAGTCAAAGTTTTGTATGCTCCAATATTCATTGAAGAAAATTCTTTTATTTTAATTTCCAAAAACCATTTATTACAGGTAATTAAAGATAGAATTGAAATTTATTCATTCAAAGAATTTATATGATATACTTATTGGATTAATAATTATTATGTATCTTTTGATATTTAGAAATTTCAAAAACTAAAGAAATAATATTAATATTTATAAAATAGACACAATGTTCTATAATTTTATATTTATATTTTTATCTTAATCTTCAATTGATTATAATTGATAATATATATATAACAATTATTAGATATTAATTTTAAATTGATATAACAAATAAAAGAGTTTAATGAGTTAAATATTAATTGTCTATTATTAATTAATTATTCAACATTTGATTATTGTCTACTCCATAAAAGTGAATTATTGGTTATGAAAATTATAATTAAAGTATGCATTCTTTAATTTTACAAGTTTTTTAAATTACTAAATTAATTAAATTTAAATTAAGATTTACAAATAGTTTCTTAAATTATTAAAAATAAATATTTATCATAACAAAATTTATGTAAGCATTATTTTTTCTACAAATATCAAAACATACTGATTTATAATGAGTATTAATTAATAATATGTAAATATGTACTTAATAATAAAGAAATCATTTATTGTATATTTTTAATACTTAATTGATATCATCTGTTTTTATATATTCAAAAGATTTGACTAATTAATCTGGAACACTTATTGTAATTATGAGTTTTGCTCTTCTAATTTGATAGACAAATTTGTTGTCTCAAATCTATTATCTCCATCCAAAAACTAGATAATTTAAAATAATTTAATTCTTATTTATGTGTCACATCAATTTTAAGAAATCCTGTAAATTGCATCTCTTATAGACATTCATCATTATCACCACCAAATCAATTTTATTTACAATTGTTTTAATTGATTTATTTTGATAATAACTTTTCAAAATTTTTAGGCGAGAATTTGTAAATACAATAAATTGTTTACAAAAGACTAATTTTTTACAACAAGGAGGTTGCTACTAATAATTTTGGAAGAGGCCATTGTTTTATTGGTAAAGAAAATATTGATATAGGTTTAAATAGATTAGAAAATTACCAGGTAATTGTTAAGCTCCTTCAAGATTTAAGTTGTTAATTCAATTTGTGGAGGGATAGGTTCAGGGTTGGGAATATTGATATTAGAAATTTATCATATGATAATATTTAAAAATTAGATTAAACATCAATTCACAACTTAATTCCTTTAAGAATATTCAGATTCTGAATCACAATGGAAAATTAAGGGATATATGATATGTTTATGTACGGGCTTTTTATTTAAAACCAAAATATTCTAATTTGAATAGGATAATAGCTCAAATAATATCATCATAAACAGCTAAGAGGCACAATGTTCAGACTTTATTGAATTTCAGGCTAACCCTATTCTGTATATTAATTTTTAATTTTAACTTTGCCCTTTTGCTCCTAAAATATCTATAAGCAATCTAATGTGTAGATTTTAATGGTTGAAATTTTAGACTTGCTTTGACACAGAGAGAAGGATAATTCTGTCAAGCAAGGGAAGATTTTGCAAAATGATAAAAAAATTATGAGGTAGCAGCCTCACTTTATTTATTCATGATTATTATTATTGTAGCTTATTTAAATAATTCTAAAAAATATTGATTCAAGGATAAAATATTTTGCTCCAAGAGTTATTTTATGACTTATATGATGATTGGTTGTTATTTAAAATATCTAATTCAACTAAATTGTCAAAAATTTTTTTGGAAACAATCTTTTTAAAACAACTTAAAGTCTAACAAAAAAATTTAATATTTAAATAATATCTCATCTGTATAAACCAACTTTTAAAAAATATGACAGTCATAAATATATTGCCATAAATTGAACAGTTGAAAATGCTTTTTCACAAAATTTCTCATTTTCATTTACTCATTGTCGGAGTCAATTAATAGATAACTCAGTAGCAGAGTGGTGATTGGAACTAAAAATAAGCTATTACTATTAAATCCTTTCAGACTATGATTTTTTCTAAAAAAACCACTATTAGAACTATATAATTCTTTGCTTCAGAAACTTGTAATAGCATTTCTACCACGGGTTGCTATTCAATTGACTTGGTCTCATTGAGTTTATATATCTATTCTAGCCTATCCGATCTCCTTAGATACACCTAAGAAATAAATGATTAATATCATCCTTAATATACTTCAATTACAGAAATTAGGTATAAAAAAATATCTTGAAATCATTCAATAGTTTATCAAATTATGGGATTCGAAATATCAAAGATATCTACTTTAGGATTTTAACTTTGAATTTCCTCTTCAAGGAAATTGATAAATGAATTTCTATTAATTTAATACTTTTAGTAAAATTTCCTGTTTATAAATATAATAATACAATATCTAAGACTGACTATTACCTTTATATATTCAATATTTGAATAAGATAATATACAATAATTAATATTATATAATTTATGTGATTTGTATTATAAATTTATCATATTAAAGTCTTGAAAATATTTTATTTAATCAAATATAAAAAAAAACCTGTTTAAGCATTAGTATCTTAGTTATGAAAATGAAAGAATATTTGATTTTGCAAAAATCAAAATTGTTAAAATGCAACTTAATTTTATAATGAATGTTTATATGAATATCACCGAGAATTCCAATTTGCAATTCCATATTTTTTTGAATCAAATAAATCAAGTTTGTTGGGAAAAGCTCCAAATATTCCAAAAATATCATTCATTCGAGAATAAAGTATTAAAAATCATTAAGTTTTATTTTCTAAATCACAGTGTGATTTAGATGTTTCTATCCAAATAGATTCCATTAACATTAGAAGAAAATAAAGATATATTTAAAAATGAATCAAAAGAGATGTCTGACAATTTTGCTCCTTAATCGTTAAAAAATAACTAGAGTTTATAACTTTAAATGAAGAATGACAGTAATAAATCATTTCATTATGTTATTTCATATATGGAAGAAATACTAGAAAGATTAAATAATTCATTTTTTTTTCCTTTTAATTTTTAAAGTTTATCTAATTCAAATTTAACTATGTATCTATTTATTTAATACAACAAATACAAATGTTGACTTTAATTTTTTTTCTGTAAACTAATATTTCATACTACCAACTGTTTTTTTGTTTAATCATGTCATTTAGATTTTAAATATATAAAAAAACAATTCAACATGTAAATCTTGGCAAGAATGAAAATTAAATAGACAAATTATTGATGATTATTGATAGATATGCTTCCAATTCATTTATATAATATTAAATACTATCTATTATTGGTCATAGTATGATAAGATTTTTCACTTTAACACTTTGATGATGCAATAATTTTGAAATGTACCATCATTAAATTCTGTAATCAAATAGATATAATCCAGTTATACATATTTAAAATAGTAAATTTTGTATTAAAATTGTATGTTATTTATAATTACATCATTTCAATTTAATTGATCACAATTTATGAGAACTGCTAAATAATCTAATTCAATCCATAAAACAATAATAACTTAACCACACCTTAAAAAAAAAAATTATTTTTTTTGCATTTAACAGAGTATAATGATATATTGTAAGGACAAATAAAATTCCAGACCTATCTATATACTTAAAAATATATTTTAGTAGTAATAATGATATTTAAAATAATAATACGATTAGGATGACATTATATAATATATTATTCATTTACATTAGCAAAATCTAATTCAAAATAAAAAAAAAGCTAATTAATTTATTTTTATGAATAATTTCATTACATTATACAATTTTAATTGGTCTTTTATTTTGATGGTGGTTAGTTTTCTAAAATGATACCTCCTTTAGATTTTAATAATGACTTTAAATCAAAACCTTAGTAATTGAGAAATTCGCCTTTAATAATCAAAGCTCCTTCCACTTATAATTTTAATGATTTGAAAATAATAAGAATAGTAATATATTTTGAAACTAGGAAATCTAGAAATATATATACGACTTTTTGAATAATGATTTTTGTAAAGAAGGGATTTTTTGAAGGATAAAAGAACATCACTATCATTGGTGCCAGTCAATTAAGTTTTTTATCCATACTAAATATCCCATAAACGGATAGATTTATCACTACTACCAGACGCTAATGTTTTTCCATCAGTAGAGAAGCATACTGAATTGACATCTTTATCATGACCCTTCAAAACAAACATTATTTTTCCTGTCTTAACATCCCATAAACGGATAGATTTATCGCTACTACCAGACGCTAATATTTTTCCATCAGGAGAGAAGCATACTGAATTGACATCTTTATCATGACCCTTCAAAGAAAACTTTTTTTTTCCTGTCTTAACATCCCATAAACAGACAGATTTATCATAACTACAAGATGCTAATGTCTTACCATCAGAAGTGAAATGTACTGAATTGACAAATTGATCATGACCTTTCAATGATATCGTTGCTTTTTCTCTCTTTAGATCCCATATTTGGATTAAGCAATCACTAGTACCAGCTGCTAAAGTAGTCCCATCAGGAGAGAAGCATAATGATCTAACCTCAATAGCATGAGTATCCAACTTGGCCTTATTTTATCCTGTCTTAACATCCCATAAACGGATAGATTTATCTCCACTACCAGATGCTAATGTATTTCCATCAGGAGAAAAACATAATGACAAGACATCCCTAAGAGGACTTTACAATTCGGCCATTTATTAATCTGTTTTAATATCCCATAACGTATAGATTAATCTCTACCACTAGATGCTAATATTTTACCATCAAGAGAGAAGCATACGGTGTAAACCCAATTTTCATGACCATCCAATTTCGCCTTTTATTTTCCTGTCTTAGCATCCCATAAAAAGATAAAATTACCTCCACCACAAGATGCTAATGTGGAACCATCAGGAGAGAAGCATACTTCGAAGACCTAATCATCATGGCCATCCAAATTGGGGTTTTATTATCCTGTTTTGAAGTCCCATAAACAAATAGAGTTATATCTATTACCAGATGCTAATGTATTTCCGTCAGGAGAAAAGCATATTGAACTGACGCAACCATAGTGATCATCCAATTATAACTTTACTTTTCCTGTCTGAACATCCCATAAAAAGATAGAATTATCTCCGCCACAGGATGCTAATGTAGTTCCATCAGAAGAGAAGCACACTAAGCAGATCAACTTGAAATTTTGCACCCTGTCTTAAAATCCCATATAAGAATAAGGTTATCTCTACTACCAGATGCTAATGTATTTCCGTCAGGAGAAAAGCATACTGAATTGACACAACTATTGTGACCCTACAATTACAACTTTACTTTTCCTGTCTTAATATCCCATACATGAATAGACTCATCAAGACTACCAGATGCTAAAGTAGCTCCATCAGGAGAAAAGCATACCGACCAGACAGAATTAAGATGACCATCAAATTTTACTATTTTTTTTCTTGTCTTAACATTCCATAAACGAATAGATTTATCTCCACTACCAGATGCTAAAGTATTTCCATCAGGAGAGAAACATACTGATTAGACAAACCAACTATGACCATCCAACTTGGCCATTTATTTTCCTGTCTTAACTTCCCATAAACGAATAGATTTATCTCCACTACCAGATGCTAAAGGATTTCCATCAGGAGAAAAACATACTGAATTGATATACCAACTATGACCATCAAATTTGGTCTTTTCATATCCTGTTTTAACATCCCATATACATATAGGCTAATTCGAATTCCCAGATGCTAAGGTATGACCATCAGGAGAAAAGCATAATGAATTGATTGAACTATTATGAACATAAAGTTTATTTAACTCATTTATTTTTAAGTTTGTCCATTTGCAATTAAATAATAAAGCTCCATTTAGGTTAATTCCACTTATATCGACATTATAAAATTCTGATCCACTTAAATTACATCTGACAAAGTTAGCCCCAACTAAAGAAGTATTCTAAATTCTGATATTTTCAAAATTTTCGTTTGAAAGGTTAACTTTCATCTAGGCCAAAATATATAATGAATTAGACCCGCATTATATAAAAGTGTTATCACTAGCAGTGAGACGAACTAAAAATTAAAAAAAATGAATGATCTTTTTATCTTCTGATATTTATTCAACCAGGTCTTGTTTGATTTTTTTATAAATTTTTCCTGAATAATTATATTTATTGAAGTTTAGATTTTATATTTATTTGATTGTGTTAGCAATTAATTTTATGTTATTTATTCCTAATTCGATCTCATTATAAATTTTGTGTAATTCAACTAATAGTATTTTATGATCATGGTTTTAAAGGAATCCCATGCAATCTGAAATTTTTTCTTTTCTTAATATTTTAATTATCAAAAAGTATATTATTTCATCAACATCCTTAACCTAAGCGAAAATCTCAGATAGGTCTTCATTCTATTCCGTAGATTAATTCATTTTCTATTTTTTTAAAATAATATTTAATTTCTTTTAAATTAACTATAAGTTTATACTAACAATTAACAATATCTTATTTATTTGAAGATCTAAATTCGTAAAAATATGGAGTAGTTTATAGTTGATGATTACTCACCTTAGAAAATGAATAATAATTTGGATTGATTCATGTTTAGATAATGTAGAATAGATATTTTAACAGCGAATAATATTAATAAAAATAATTTAAATTGCTTAATTTTAAGTTTAAATGGATAATTCTTTATGATCTAGGATTGGTAATTTATTTATCTAATTATTTCTGTTAAATGCATAACTTAAAGTGAAAATAATAACAGAAAAGAATAAGACTTTAAAAATTTGCCTCATTCCTGATGTATTTTATTTTGTAGAATCTCTTTCAAATTTGATGAATTTGTTTTTAAATAGATAATTTGACAAAAAGCACCTCAGAAATGATATTTAAAAACGTGATAATTGATTCTTATTTGAAAACAAATGGCAATACCTAATATTTGGGTTAATTTGAGGGTTTTAGTATAGGTATGTTATACTATCTTCTGTTGATATAGGTAGTGTAATGAATATCACATTATGATACAGATCACCTAAACAGTAAGTTAACTCTCATATACATTAAACCCAAGTATTTCTGTAAAAAATTCAATTCAATTTATTCAATATAGAATAGTTGATATGAGGCTATAAATTGATGTATAATTTTTTATGATTTAAATATCAAGTATTTTTGAGTATTTTATATTTATCTCCAAAAATTAGTAAGAACCTACACATTTAGGTTGCCAACTCTACAGGTAAAATTTGGCTTATAAAAATATTTAAATCAATCATTAAAAGTAGATAACGCAAGGTTTCAGATAATTATAAAAGTTAAATAAAGTCTTCTAAATTAAAAATTAACAAATAAAGAGGATAAGAATCATGATATGATAAAAGCATGTATCTCATCATTAAAATTAATTTAGTGTATATTAGGATTATAACAAAAAACTTAATCCTAATTAGAAAAATTTCACATTAAAATTAAATGATTTGAAGTGATTCATTTTTTAAATATCCTAATGCACTTTTTAAGGAATAATCCGAAAAAGGAAGAATTTATAGTAGCTTAAAATATAATAATATTTATTTATGATTAGAAAGAAGAAATTTTTCATTCTTTTTATTCAATTTTTATTTGCTCATTTAATTATATATTAAGTTAAAATTCCTTCATAACTAAACCTCTAATTATGTAAGTATATAATTAATATCTTTTAATGTTATTATAGAATTTTCCAGTCCTAATCAAAATTTAATAAAATATATTGATTTTAAATTTATAAAATAAAAGGGCCGAATTTATTTGATTGATTAAGTGTATTTCCTGAATTAAATAGATCACTTTTATTTAAATCAATAAAACTACTCAACAATTATTTTCAATAAATAATTAAGTTTGCTCCCCAAAATTCTTAAACTTAACTTTTGTCTCAAAAGTTTTATTGCTTAAAATGAAATTATTATCAAATCATATGGTGAAATTCCAAAAGACCTTTATTAAAGTAAAAACATAAGATGTAGCAAGGATGAAAATGTATAACCTCACTACTGTCGCATGTAAGATTGATGAATTGTAAACATATTAAAAACATCGTTGATAATCTCCGACTTGACTTTAGTTTACAAGGATCTAGCACATCGTTTTTGATATACTACCTGACCCTTCTATATGCGAAGAATTCGAAGGAATATTATAAATTCTATCATTCCTTTCTTTTAAGAATAAGGCACTCCTCTTGATTATTAGCTAAATTTTTGATTTCTATTCACTTATTGATGGAATAAGAAATCCACTTCATATGCAATATTTTTGGAAGCTAATTACATAACAATGGTAATTATTAATAACATCTCAATTACTTTCATGTCATAGTTTCAAAACAACCTGACAAGTAAGTTTGAATTTAAATTGCTTAATCAGAAGTGTTATTTTTAGTTCTTAGAATAAAAATATAATTGTATTCCCCTCAAGCCAATTTCAACATCATGATAAAAATTGAATGCGAAATTGTAAGAACTTTGTGATTAAATATTTTTTTTAATATTTATGATACTTTTTTTTTATTAAAGTTTATCCCCTTCAAAACCAAATGGTACTTGGTATAATAAGTCTTCTTATAGATATCTAATTTAAATATAAGCGAAATTAAATTTTAATTATCAAATATATCAATCTTATCTACATTTTTGGTAATACCTGACATAATTAATTGATTCATCCATCTTATTTTTTGGTTGTTAATTTGAATGATATCAGCCTTTACCTTCCAATATTCTTGTTAAGACTTTATTTCAAATTGTCTTCCTCTGTATTCAAATTGTATTTGTAAAAACCTTTCTATCAACTATATTTAGAAATACAAAAATAATTTAAAAAATTGAATTATGTAAATGTTTTGTCTCTTCACATTTCAGCTACTTAAGGAATATAAAAATTTAACGATCTCATATTGATTAAATATTTTCATCAAATTATGAATTAAATTAATGATTAAAAACATTAAAATTGGGTTAGATATAATATTGAAACACATTAATTATTAAAATAATTATAAATTTTGGTAAATCATATATTGGATTTAAGTCTTAAACTTATTAGGAAGGGAAGAAAAACAATTAAAAAAAGGAAATAAAATCATTTATAACTTTAAATGTCTTAAAAGTAATTTACCTTAACTATCCTCAATTATTGCCATTTTTTCTGAATAAAAAAGGGCTTTTAAGCGCAGAACAATCTGCATAAACAGTTTAATATATCAAATATAATAAAATTTGAAAGTTTTATTTTCAAATATGACAATTTAAAATTAATTTATCATTTTTTTAAATGAGAATCAGTATCATATATTAAATTCCAATTATTTCTATTAAATTAACCAGATAGATGTATTTTGTCGCACTCTAGATACCAAAAACATTATGAATTTAAGTTATTATTATAGTTATATAATAATAACTTTAATTCATAAATAAAAGAAGTAGCTTGTGTAAATAAAGATAAATTTTTTAAGAAAATAGAAATTAATAAGATTTCCCATTTAAAATCACTTATTTATTAATTAAATATATAATTTGAAAATATTTATTCTAAACCTGTTTTTATATAAATACTTCTCTAATTTCTCTTCTTGAATAAAGAAATAAGTATATTGATTTTTGTTTTAATTAGTAAGATAGAATAATAATAATTAGATACTATTAATAAAAAATTCTGAGTTCATACATATTGAAAGTAGTTTTGTTTTCAGAACACCATGAAGATTGTTATTTTAAAAAAAATGATATTCCACTTATACAGATTTTGTTTCAATAGCATAATTTCTTATTGATTATGTGAAAACCATAACTTTGATAATGAATAAAATGCTTAATTTATTCATCACTCAAGAAAATGATAATATAATTTAATTTTTAAAATGAAATTTATGTTAAAGACATAATATTCTCCAGACTCATATGGTATCTTGTAAATTATTAAATAATATTATGAGATACAATATTTTTTGCATAAGGACTATTTTTGTTATAACTCTAAAAAATAAATTTTTATCAGATTAATATTAATGTAATAATTACTCTTTTTATTAATAAGTGTCGTTTTGGCTTAAGATGATTTGATAACGGTATAAGTAGTTTGGAGACATGGAGCCAGAAATTATTATCATTGTAATTGGAATTGTATTGAGGATTAGCCTAGAGGAGATGAAGCAGTCTTAACTCCAACAGGCATGAGATAATAATATGTATTAGGGAAATGGTTAAGATAGAGATACATAATTGATAATTAATTTTTATCAAGTAAGTTTAATGAAAATGAAATCTATATCGAAAGTTCGGATGAAAATCGGTAATTATAATCTATATACAAGAACTTTAACAAGTGCATATTGTAATTTATTAGGTATGTATCCAGAGGGTCCTTCTATACCTCAATTTGAGAAAGAAAATGAATCATTATTGTTGCCACCAAATTAGGATGCTTAGATTCCTAAAGATTTAGGTGATAATGCTTTACCTCATAAAATTTAATTAATTCCAATTCATACAAAATAAAAGTCACTCCACTCTGCCATTGTTATTTAATGTCCAAAGATAGAAACATTTAATAGAGAAACTTAGCTTTACAAAGAGGTGAATGTTGCAAGTGCATAACTTTATGATGAATTTAATAAAGAATTAAATTTATAAGGAGAATAAAAAGTTAATGATATTATAGAATTATCACATTGGAGAGATACATTTATTTGTAATAGATACAATGGAGATCCATTACCACCAAATCTGAAACCTCATACTCTATAATAACTAGATAATATTGCAAACTTGGCATAATCTCTTGAAAGGTTCTAAACACAAGAGTAAAATTAATATCATTTTTTAGTTAGGTAAAAATATAATCAACTCCTTATTTTTAAAGATTAATTGAACATTTTGATTCTGCTTTAAATGGAAGTTAATACTTTAAATATTTTGCTTCGTCTGCACATGATACAACACTTGGATGCTTTTTATCAGCCTTAAATTTAACAAGTGCTTAATGTTAAGCTGATATTTATTTAAAAAAGAATATTACATACAATAAATGTATGACTAAAGTAAATATATATCATATGATAAATAGTATGTAGAATTTGCGGCAAATTTGATATTTGAACTTTACAATAATATTAATATTGGGCCTTTTGTTAAAGTGCTTTATAATGGAGAGTATGTTCCAATATGTTCAGATTTTGCTAAAACTTGTCAATATACAAGATTCCGTTCAATTATCACAGCTTAATTAGTAGATTATCAAAAATTATGTATTGAATCAAATGATGAGACATATCGAGTATTTATGATTCATTTATTTTCATTAGGTTTCTTAAACTCCAAAATGGGCATATACATTTTTTAGTTTAACTATTCTCCTCCTTTTATTAGTATTAAGTTGGATACTATACTTAAGATCGTAATAAGGTTATAGAGATTAGAATTGAACATTACAAATATTTCAAATAAATCAATAATTATTTGTGTTATTCTGATATAGATTCTGCTTCCGATAAAGATTAAAAAACCATATTAGATTATTTTATAATTCAGAATTTCAATATCTTCTTTTCAAAGGTCATTACAATTATCTTAGATTATATAGATCCTGGCAATTTATTAATGTTCATCATAATTAATTCAAATCGAAAAAGATATATTGAAAATTATATTAACTTTATGAAGTTAATCTAAATTTATTCATTTCAAAGGATGCTACTGAAATATGGATTTTTTTACTTCTATGATGCATTTTTTAATCTTTAAATTCTTTTATATCTAAATTCTAATTTAAGATATATTTGTTCATTATTCCTTGAATTCTTTATATTAATATAAATTATATCTTTGATCAGGGTTCTAAGCCAATTTTACTAAAAGTAGATTTCTATTAAAATAATAATTGATTTTGTAATACATCAAATATTTCTGAAATAATCTAATTATCCATCCAATGTTATTCCTACTATCTATTTCCTTCCATTTTTAGATATTATGTTAATTTATAATTTTAACCCTTTAAAAGTGTTGGTATACTGCCGAAAGCAAGAAGAAATCTATTTTTTCATTGTCAGAAATTCCAGTATCAATTTCAGATGCTATAGATATTAAGTTTAATAATAATATAATACCTTAAATTTAACATCCAGTAATAAATTTTGAAATTTTAGATTTCTATGAAAATTCCTTTGTTTGCTATGAAAATCTTACTCATCAATAGTTATTTGTATTTGATAAATCAAATATTATTATATATTGTTAAGAACTTAGGAAATAACAGTTTTATGTAATTGAAATTAAAAAGTTCCAATAATCTAAATGTATATGTATTAATGTATTGAAAATTACGCTTTTATGTAATATCTAACTCGCTTCGCAACTGCAACAATCCTTTTGTTTGAATAATGTTCATAAACCTATTCCTGATTGATTTGCAAATTATGAGTGACTAATAATTTGCAAATCAATGTATCGTACCTTCTGAAAGAGTATTATTATATTAAACTGGTGACTTAAATATATTTATCTTTATAATTTTTATTTGAGGATTGGATTTCTAATCTTGTCTTAACATCCCATTATCGGATAGAATTATCATCAGAGAAAAAGACTGAGTTGGCAGATTTATTTGACTGCCTGATAACCAGATTTTAAATCACTATCCTTAACTTCCTAGTTTGAAAAATTCTGGTCCTCCCCTTAAATAATAAATACATAAGATACATTTTCATTCTTTAATAAAATTTTTATTTGGACTAATAGTAAAACAATAATTATTTTACAAAAATATGAATTGCACATATCATTTTCAAAATCCCATCACGTTAATATGTACATCTCCTCACAAGTGTGAATTTCAAAGAAAACTTTGTGTTGAATGCCTATATGATCATGGAGTAGATGTCAAACAAGCGGTTCCGATTAAAAAATTTCAAGAGATGGTGCTCAAGAAATTAAAAGATTGTAACCTTGATGAGACATTTGAGCTAACCACAATAAGATTGGCTTTTAAATCCATGATCTCCCAAACAGAAAGTATGTTGAAGAAAATTTGGGAAGAATTGTCAGAATTAATAAAATAAATTTACGATTGGATCGAACAGGAAAATAAATCATACTATAATCTTCTCAACGAAAATATAGTAGAATCCTCATATACTGATTTAGAAAAATTAATATAGATTTTAGAAGAGAAGACCTTAGATGATTGGAATGAAAAGAAAATTTCATATTTGAAAATATTGGAAGAGCACAAGATTTTATGGGACCTAGATGTCTAGGCTTTTTGCGAATTGCAAAAGGAAAATATCCAAACGATTAGATCATTATTTGAGTAATATTTTAATCTTATTCTAGATTACAAACTCAATCTTATGAAGAAGAAAACTAATTTTTTGAGATGAAAAATGATCTTTATGAAATATTTATTTACACTCAGGATATTGACGAATTGATATTAAATAGAATTATTGAAACATTAAAAAGAGATTAAGTTTCAGACATCCAAGAATTTCTCTCCATAATAGACAATCAAAATTTGTGTTAATAATATACAAATAAGTAATAGAATATAAGAGATGTAAGAAAGAAACTAAAAAAAATCAAAAATGTGTTGACAAATATTTTGAATCATCCCTTTAGTAAAAATGAGTATTCATCTCAAACTTACAACAAGGAAAAATAGGATCTAATAGTTAAAATAGCAAAAAATAAAGAGATCATAGCTTTTATAAAATTTCTAGTTAAACTAACAGCATTCGACAAGTAATATATTTAAAGTGGATCCAATTCACTTCACTTATTGGTGATGATGAAAGTTGATATTACAGACCATTGTTTTGAAAACATAAATATCAAGAATACATCATTAGTTGGTGCAAATATGGTAAGATGTATTTTCAATGGATCAGTATTTGATAATGTTGAAATCAGCGGAGTAAATTTGAATGGAGCTTAACTATTTAATTGTAAATGGAGAAACATAAAAATATAGGAATTAAATAAATTAGATGGCCATAGTAGCTCTATAAATTCAGTATGCTTTTCTCTTGATGGAATTACATTAGCATCTGGTAGTTATGATAACTCTATCCGTTTATGGGATGTTTAGACAGGATAATAAAAGGCCTAATTGAACGGTCATGATAATTGTGTAAATTCGGTATGCTTCTCTCTTGATGGAACTATGTTAGCATCTGGTAGTTATGATAACTCTATCCGTTTATGGGATTATTAGACAGGATAATAAAAGAGCTAATTGAATGGTCATGATAATTGTGTAAATTCTGTCTGCTTCTCTCTTGATGGAACTACATTAGCATCTGGTAGTAATGACAACTCTATCCGTTTATGGGATGTTTAGACAGGATTGTAAAAATTCAAGTTGGATGGTCATGATAATTGGGTTTAATCAGTATGCTTCTCTCCTGATGGAGATACATTAGCATCCGGAAGTTATGATAAATCTATACGTTTATGGGATGTGAAGATCGGATAATAATTGGTCAAATTGGATGGTCATATAGGATATGTAATGTCAGTATGCTTCTCTCCTGATGGAAAAACATTAGCATCAGGAAGTTATGATAAGTCTATACGTTTATGGGATGTTAAAACAAAATAATAATAGGCAAAATTGGATGGTCATGATAATTGGGTCTATTCAGTATGCTTCTCTCCTGATGGAAAGACATTAGCATCTAGTAGTTATGATAATTCTATCCTTTTATGGGATTTGAAGACAGAATAATAAATTATCTAATTGGATGGTCATAGTAATTATGTACGATCAATTTGCTTCTCTCGTGATGGAGAAAAATTAGCATCGGGCAGCGATGATAACTCCATTCGTCTTTGGGATGTTAAGATAAGATAATAAAACGATCATAGAGATTATATCTTTTCGTTATGTTTCTCTCGTGATGGCACTAAATTAGCATCTAGTAGTGAAGATCAGTCTATCCGTGTATGGGATGTTAAGACAGGAAAATAAAAGGCAAAAATGGATGGTCATAAAAATTTTATCAACTCAGTAATTTTCTCTCCAGATGGAACTATATTAGCATCTGGCAGTTCTGATAAGACCATTCGTTTATGGGATGTTATGACGGGATAATAAATAGTTTAATCAGATTGTCACTGTAGTGGAGCCAATTCATTATGCTTCTCTCCTGATGGAACTAAATTAGCATCTAGTTGTGAAGATCAGTCTATCCTTGTATGGGATGTTAAGACAGGAAAATAACAGGCAAAAATGGATGGTCATAAAAATATTATCAACTCAGTAATTTTCTCTCCAGATGGAACTATATTAGCATCTGGCAGTTCTGATAAGACCATTCGTTTATGGGATGTTATGACGGGATAATAAATAGTTTAATCAGATTGTTACTGTAGTGGAGCCAATTCATTATGCTTCTCTCCTGATGGAACTAAATTAGCATCTAGTTGTGAAGATCAGTCTATCCGTGTATGGGATGTTAAGTCAGGAAAGTAACAGGCTAAAATAGATGTTCATAAAAGTTTTATCAACTCGGTAATGTTCTCTCCTAATGGGAAAACTTTAGCATCTAATAATAATGATAATTCTATCCATTTATGGGATGTTAAGAGTTGGAAGGAAATTCAGCCTTCAGACAAAAATTACAATGATTTAATAGCATAATTCAAAGCCCTTATCATTTAAAACAATCCTCTACCAAGTAAATTTTTGTTAAATTTTGATTTAGTCACTCCTCCTCTAACTATTTTAATTATATCACAATAAGCAATATTTTAAGCATAAGGGGCTTTAATTTTGAAAGGAGAATTTATAAATCATTAATAGAAAGATATGAGACCATTACTGCAATCTAAAGGTAGTTGTATTTTGGAAAATTAAATAGAATTAAACAAAAAATAGAAATGATTATTAACTGATGCATTAAAACTATTAATAGTACAATTAATGGTTAATATTCTTCTTCTTACAATATAATTTTTATTATATCTTTTAATCTTATTAATTTAAATATAATCATTTATTAAAATTCATTTATTTTAAGTTTTTATTTGATAATATAAGAATAGTCAATCGTTAAAGCCTGCTTTCTTTAGAGTCCTTTTTGATTTTCTCTATTTTCAATTTCTTATTTAGTATCAAAAATCTTTTTAAGAACCATTAAGCCAACTAACAACAACTTACTATTTATTTATTATTTCTACATCTAAATAAGGGGAACGTTAAGTAGAAAATTTAAAATATGATTCTGAAATTATAATTAGATTAATTTTAATAATCAATAAATCTAAATCCTAAACTAGAGAAGAGAATATATATCTATAATCTAAGATTTTAAATTAAAACTAATAAAAGGTAATATATTTTATAGGTGGTGCTTTCTATATATGAAAAAAATTCTTCAAATTTCAATGAAACTAAAAAAATTAAAAAAATACCATACAAAAAGTACAGTATATTTCATTAATTTAAATAATTTGTTGATTTAAGACCAAAAAATATAGTATTTTAATTTCTTGTTTAAAATCAGCAATTTATTCAGCTCTTTTGTGATGACAAGCCAAAAATATACAATTGCAAGATGATAAATTCTTTATAAATGTTCTCCTCAATATTTTTTTGAATAAATAAGTAATTTATATTTAAGCAATCAAACCTAAAATGGCCAATAAAAATGCTAGTAATTTTATGTAACAAATATCTGACAACGCTTCTTTGATTCTTTTTAAAACAAACTAACTTAGTTCTTTATGATGATTTATACTAACATTTACAATGAGAATCATAGAATTGTTTACATTATTAGTCCGAAATTTATTAAATTATACTAAATCTAAACATTCTCTTCACTTTGATATAATATTTGTCATATATAAATCATCTAATTTTATTTCCTTTTTTTCAATAATTATTTTAAAAATATTTCTGTTTAATCTACAAAAACAAATTGACAAATATTATTCAGGATTAAAAAAATTTGCTCCCTTA